CAAAAGACAAAGAGAGAATCTTAAAAGCAGCAAGAGAAAAACAGTCAGTTACCTACAAGGGAGTGCCCATAAGATTGTCAGCTGATTTCTCAACAGAAACTATGTAGGCCAGAAGGGAGTGGCAAGAAATATTCAAAGTGATGAATAGCAAGAACCTACAACCTAGATTACTTTACCCAGCAAAGCTATCATCAGAATTGAAGGTCAGATAAAGAGCTTCACAGATAAGCAAAAGCTAAAGGAGTTCATCACCACCAAACCAGTATTATATGAAATGCTGAAAGGTATCCTTTAAGAAGAGGAAGAAGAAGAAAAAGGTAAAGATACAAATTATGAACAACAAATACACATCTATCAACAAGTGAATCTAAAAATCAAGTGAATAAATAATCTGATAAACAGAATAAACCGGTGAATATAATAGAATCAGGGGGATAGAAAGGGAGTGGACTGACTATTATCGGGGGGAGAGGGGGGCAGGGTGTGTGGGGTGTGGGAAGAGACTGGACAAAAATTGTACACCTATGGATGAGAACAGTGGGTGGCGGGGGTAAGGGCAGAGGGTGGGGTGGGAACCGGGTGGAGGGGAGCTATGGGGGGAAAAAAGAAGAACAACTGTAATAATCTGAACAATAAAGATTTAATTTTTAAAAAAATGTTGAGATATGCTCCCTCTATTCCCATTTTTCTGAGAGTTTTTATCAAAAACTAGAGGCCAGGTGCACAAATTCATGCATGGGTGGGGTCCCTAGGCCTAGCTAGCAATCAGGGCCTATCGGGGCCATCTCGCCCAGTCAGGCCGGATCAGGGCTGGCCAACCACTGTCTTAAGCCAAACCAGAATATTCAAAAAAACAGCAAGGATTAAGGTTCAGTAAAAATAAGAAGTTAAGCCAGTGAGCGGCAGATTATAACCTCAGGAAATTTAAAGTACTAAATTTGGCTGGTCTGAATGCAGTGTCTTACTTCTTATCCAACCATCCTGGCCCCTGGCCTCAACTGCTCCTTCCCTTCCCTTTCTCTTTTCCCTTGGATAACAGCCCAATTCTAGCATTCCTTCCCACTTTCACTGCAATAAAATCTCAACCACTCACTGTCACCCCTTAGTGCCATGGCGACTACCCTCTCAGCTTGGAGTGCGGAACTAGAAAAAAGAACCTCATACCCTTTAGTCTACCTCTTCTCCTTACACCTATCAGCTTGTCTCCGTGATCAGGGATTATTCTTCTTCTGTGGGGAAAACACATACGTCTGTCTCCCCATCAGCTGGACAGGAACCTGTACTCTCGTCTCTCACCCAATGTAGATGTAGCCCCCAATAATCAGTCTTTACCTGTCCCCGTAACCTATCATATCTGACTCAAAAGGAAAGTCCCTCTCCTAATAACCCTGGGCATCACAGCAGAGGTTGGAACTGCCATAGAGAGCTTAACCACTGCTCTACCTATTTTGAAACCCTGTCTCAGGACCTACAAGAAACATGTGGATGCCCAGCAAAGGGCAAAACTGGGAAAACAAGAACCTCACCCCCTGGGTAATGTATTCTCCCCTTTCATATCACTAGTGAGGCAACTAAGACCCCTATTCTTTTTCCCCCTAAAAATAACATCTAGGTCTCAGTTGTATTTCAGCTCCAGACCCAGAAAAGCAGCAAAACCAGACAAGTGATGCTGTGGCAGCCTCAGGACCAGCTTTTACCTTCCAAGTCACTCAACAGGATCGCTCTGGAGCCTTCACCAACAAGTCTCTCAGGGAGATCATGCTGCTACACCCCTTGGCCAGCCCACTACTATCAAAGTCCATTCCCCTGTGACCTTGACATTCCACCTCAGCAGGAAGTAATTACAGAAAATATGACCTCCGTCCATATTCCATAAAACAAAAGGCTGGAATGTTAGGTTTGATCCAGCAATTGAGTTGATACCCCTCCCCCAGGAACTGGCTTTTCAGGTCACTTCACTATGCACATTCCCTTTGCTGAAGACCACATTTCAGTTTCGGTGACCACATTCCATTCTTTCCCCTCCGGCTATGCATAAAGAAGTCTCCGCCCAGGGAAAAGCCTGTCAGAAGTCCTTTAAAAGCCACTGACTCCTGTCACTGGGTGCTAGAGCCATCCAGGCTGAGCCACTTGGTGTGTGGATGATCCAATAAATTTGTAATCCCTCACCACTCTGGCCACGTGCATTCCTCCTTCGGCAACCTAACAGATATGTGATTCAAAAATATTCTTATAGATTGTATTTTCACTTTTTTAAGGTGTTCTATGAAGCACAAAATTTTTTATTTACTAAAACCAATTTATTTTCTCTGTGTGTGTGGGTTTTTAATTATTATTAATATAAAAGAAGCCAGGTGTAGTTCAAAGGTCACAATGATTTAGTCCTGTTTTTTTTTCTAGGGGTTTTATGACTTTATGTCTAACATTTTGATCTATGATCCATTTTGAGTTAGTTTATATGTATGGTATAAGGTAAAATTCCAACTTCATTATTTTGCAAGTTTCTATCCAGTTATTCCGAACCATTTTTTAAAAGGCTATTCTTTCCCTCAATGAACTGTTTATGGCATCCTTGTTAAAAGGAGTTCACTACCTTGTAATACTTTAAGCAATAAAACAATAAAAAAAAGGAGTTCACTACCACCAATCCAGTATTGCATGAAATGTTAAAGAGTCTTCTGTAAGAAGAAGAAAAAAAGATTAAAAATATGAACAATAAAATGGTAATAAATATATATATATATATATCAACAGTTGAATCTAAAAACCCAAATAAATGAACAAGCAGAACATAAACAGATTCATATATACAGAAAACATTTTTTAAAAATCTTTATTGTTGAGTTTTATATACACCTCATTTTTTCCCCATTGACCTTTCTAAGCCCCTCATTTTGCCCCCCACCCCAGGCCTTCACCACCCTATTATCTGTGTCCATGGGTTATGCATATATGCATACAAGTTCATTGGTTGATCTCTTCCCACCCTCCCACCATCTTCTGCCTTCCCTCTGATGTTTGACAGTCTGTTGGATGTTTCTATATCTCTGGATCTATTTTTGTGCATCAGTTTATGTTGTTCATTAGATTCCACATATGAGTGAGATCGTAATACTTATCTTTCTCTGACTGGCTTATTTCGCTTAGCATAATTCTCTCCAGTTCCATCCATGCTGTTGAAAATGGTAAGTTATTTCTTTTTATAGCTGGGTGAGTAGTATTCCATTGTGTAGATTATACAGAGAACATTTTGATGCTTGCCAGATGGAAAGGGGGTTGGGGAGGATAGGTGAAAAAGGTAAAGGGATTAAGAAGTACAAATTGTTTTCACATAATAGTTATGGGGATATAAAGTAGAGCATAAGGAATATACTCAATAATATGCTAATAACTTAGTACGGTGTCAGATGGGTATGAGATTTATCGGATCATCACTTAGTAAGTTATATAATGCCTAATCACATTGGTATACACCTAAAACTAATCTAATATTGTATGTTGACTGTAATTGAAAAATAAAAAATGATTTTAAAAGATAAAACAAATTGACTGTAAATGTAAGGGCTTGTTTCTTTCTCTCTTTTTTGATAAAAAGAACTTTATTTTAAACTAGAGGCCCGGTGCACAAAAATTTGTGCACTCGGGGGGGAGGGAGGGGGGTCCCCCAGCCCGGCCTGTGCCCTCTTGCAGCCTGGGACCCCTCGGGAGATAACGACCTGCTGGCTTAGGCCTGCTTCCGGGTGGCAGAGGGCAGGCCCAATCCCTAAGTGCAGCCCCTGGTCAGGCTCAGAGCAGGGCCGATTGGGGAGTTGGGGTGCCGCCCCGTCATGCACAGAGCAGGGCGGATCGGGAGGTTGCGATGCCACCCTCAGTCACCCTCAGGGTAGGGCTGATTGGGGGGTTGGGGCACCGCCCCCTGTCACACTCAAGGCAGGGTCAATGGGGAGGTTGCGGCGCCACCCCCTGTCACGCACAGAGCAGGGCCAATCAGGGGGTTGGGGCGATGCCCCCTGTCACTCACAGAGCAGGGCCGATCAGGGGGTTTGGGCCGCTGCCCCCTGTCACTCACAGAGCAGGGCCGATAAGGGGTTTGAGGAGCTCCTCGCCCTTCTCACACACAAGAGCAGGGCGGAATCAGGGGTTTGGGTGCTGC